GAAGAAGCAACGGGCCTTGATCAGTGTCACATTGACACTCGGAAAGCAGTTCACGTCAGCTTCTTCTACGGACTCCGTCGATGACAGCACTGTGCACTACGGCACGCTCAGCAAGGCGATACAAGCGCGCTTCAAAGATGAAACCATGGCATGGATGTCAACCGTCGCTCTATCAAATGCCGTCTCTCAATGCGTTCGCGATGTCGCAGGCTCGACAGACGTATACGCCATCGAAACCGACGTCTGCTACCTGAAAGGCAGTATGTTTGGCGAAGGCGCTGGACACATCACCTCGCGCGTCGAAGGGTCTGGCACTAGCTCGAACGTACTGTACCTGCGCAACGTCCGCATTCCGTGCCTGATTGGCGTCAACTCCAATGAGAGGCTTCAGAAACAGCCCGTGGTCCTCAATGTCTGGGTTAACAACATGGCTGACTCTCGTGTGGAGGGATACCCTCAGCTAGAGACTTTCTTATTCGAGGTATGCACAGCACAATGTATACGTACACACCGACTGACCAACGTAGTTGATATCCGGCTCTACATTCCAAACGATCGAGAGCTTGCTTGCGTGGTTGGTCGACGAGCTCAGACAAAGATTCTTCACAGAAGAGGCGGACCAGAACGCGTGGATCAAGCTGAGAATTAGCAAGCCCCATGCGGTACCCTTTGCAGATGCGCCAGCCGTCGAGATAACACGACCCGTACGGTCGAGCTAGGGTGGGGTGGTGTCACTAGCAAACTGCCGCAACGAGTCAAAGCGTCGCCATGACTGTGGAAACGTCTGCAGGTTTTCTCGGACGCCAGCCACGGGCACAGCTAACGATGTCTGTTCCTGACTTGTGCTAGGGGAGGTACGTTAGCGCAACCGGTACCGATTCAGTCTCCACTTCCATAGCTGTCCCTGTCTTACAGCCTGGCGGCGTGAAGTCGGGAACCGCCAAGCGTCTAAGCTTGTTAGAAGCTTCTGCCATCTCGGTTCCTGGTATCGCGAGTTCCTCCAGGCTGGGCCATTGGTACACCCCAATGATATTCTTGTTGTTGGGCACAATGCAATCAATGGGTCTTGTCGGGATTCGAGTAATGATCTAACTAAATTCCCGCAAAGTTTCAACACGGGCGTGCGTGTGTAGTGGAGATGGCGTTCCCTGAGGCTGTCGTAGCATGGGCATCGTTGTTGTGTGAATACACCGACTTAGTAGCAGAAGATCCCCCACGTGGTCCAAGCGATGCAGACGTGTACCTGCGCCACTGCCACTTTCCACTTCTGCAGCCACTATCTTTCATCCCAAATCACTTCCGCGATATGCAGATGCAAAAGACCCTTGATCACCCGAAACCCCGCTGCATTCGCCTCCGCGTTGCATCGCGCAGTCGCCACTGTGGAAAAAAATGCAACTTTCCCAGCCGGGGAAGTCTGTTGGGGAGCAAGTCGGAAGAGCGGTCTCTGCGCGACGTCAAGCTGACTGCAGCCCCCTGCTAGCGCGGCGGCCAGATGAGGGGCTTTTCAATTTATCGACATAGCTCTCCGAAAAGTTATTCAACAATTGTGCATCGTGAGGTCGAGTAGATAGGCGGCCGCGCAGCCATTCGATAGTCACTGTTGACTCGGGCAGACGCGGGATGGTGCGAAGACTTGGAAGTGTAACTGTTGTGAAGCCACGATACAGTAACGTGGTCAGATCTGAGTGAGAGCTGAGTGAGAAGCTGGATGAAACAACTCGAGGGCTGTGATCTGATACCAGAATAGCTGGGGTGAAAATAGCTACTAGCACACCCCATTGTATAATGGCTGTAATGGCTGCACCATGGCTGATGATGGTGTGAAAGCAAGTATCAAAACTTCGTCGTGGGCAGGCACTATTGGTGGCGTGGCCGTTGCCATGCAGAGATGCTGCGGTCGTAACTGCCCTTCTAGTACTTGAGCGGCAATGACCTGCATGTATAAAAGGCAAATTCACACCGTCTCTTCACCATCCCCATCAAACCCCGAGCCTGTTCTCGTTACCAGGCCATAGCTTGTTCTCGACTTGCCCCACGTTCAACGCCAAGCGCGACCCATTGCCTTTAAGGAGACCAGCTCCCCAACACTTGTTGTTCCTTACACCACTCTCTCCTCACGGAACAACCTCTTTTCTTCTCACACATACACAATGGCGTCTCGCGCGATTCCTTCTCACTTGAAGCCCTCCGCCGCTGAGGGCGGCGAGGGTGGCTTCTCATCCCAACGCCATCACGGCAAGTCGCAGTCCCACGTGGTAAGTACTCTTTCTCTCTGTTTCTGCAGTTGTCCGGCGTGCGTCTTGCTTTTTCCAGCGCTGCTTGCTTGCATTGGTTTTGTTGCTGTACGGCGGACGCAGCTATCCTCACCGCTTCCCGTTGTCTCGACATGGGTATGGTGGGGACCGAGGAGAGTTGGCATTGAGCTGGCCACGACTGTTGGTCGATCGCAATACGCCGCTCGGCCAGATGTCAAGGCGATTTCCTTGGAGAGGACCAGGCGATTCATCAGAGTTGGTGTTCGCTGCCGCTCTCGAGTGTTGGCCCCGCATTCGCATCGCCTGCTCCCCGCGGGAGTGATGTCGTTGTGACAACACGTACCGTCTCAACAACTCCAATACTTCGAATTCGATTTCAATCAACTAACAACGACTTTGCAGGCTTTCGAGAACACATCCACCAATGTCGCCGCCTCGCAAATGCGCAACGCGCTCAACAAGCTCGCCGACACCGTCACAGACCCCGCTGAGAAGAAGGTCAGTCGCAATCCTTCTATACCCCTCCATCTTCATCTGCCACCTATACATTTCGATATGCTTGCGTAGGTCAATCTCGCGACTACAAGCTGTGAACATGTTTGGAGGGGCATTTGGAGGGTACGTCATTCTGAGCGTATACTGACCCACTACAGTACTTCGAGACTGAGATGGACAACTTCTTCGCTCTGTTCCGCCGATACCTCAACGACAAGGCCAAGGGCACTGCCATTGACTGGAACCGCATCGCTCCCCCGAAGGCCGAGCAGGTCGTCAGCTACGATGAGCTGGCCAACACCGAGGCCGTCGAATACCTGAACAAGTTGGCGGTTGTCAAGCTCAACGGTGGTCTCGGTACCTCCATGGGTTGCGTTGGCCCCAAGTCCGTCATCGAGGTCCGTGATGGCATGTCCTTCTTGGACCTGTCAGTACGACAGATCGAGTACCTCAACCGCACATACGATGTCAACGTGCCGTTCGTACTGATGAACTCGTTCAACACCGACACCGACACTGCCAGCATCATCAAGAAGTACGAGGGCCACAACATCGACATCCTCACCTTCAACCAGTCAAGATACCCCCGTATCCTCAAGGACTCGCTCCTGCCCGCTCCCAAGGAGAACAAGTCCGACATCGCCAACTGGTATCCCCCTGGTCACGGTGACGTTTTCGAGTCTCTCTACAACACCGGCATGATTGACAAGCTCATGGACCGTGGTATCGAGTACATCTTCCTTTCCAACGCCGACAACTTGGGTGCCGTTGTCGATCTCCGCATTCTCCAGCACATGGTCGACTCCCAGGCCGAGTACATCATGGAGCTGACAGACAAGACCAAGGCTGATGTCAAGGGTGGAACCATCATTGACTACGAGGGCTCTGTCCGTCTGCTTGAAATCGCCCAGGTTCCCAAGGAGCACGTCAACGAGTTCAAGTCGATCAAGAAGTTCAAGTACTTCAACACCAACAACATCTGGATGAACCTCGCCGCCATCAAGCGCGTTGTTGAGGCCAACGAGCTTGCCATGGAGATCATCCCCAACGGCAAGTCCATCCCTGCCGACAAGAAGGGCGAGGCCGACATCTCGGTTCTCCAGCTCGAGACCGCTGTCGGTGCCGCCATCAAGCACTTCAAGAACGCGCACGGTGTCAACGTTCCCCGAAAGCGTTTCTTGCCCGTCAAGACCTGCTCTGACCTGATGCTCGTCAAGTCGGATCTGTACACACTGCAGCACGGCCAGCTGGTGATTGACCCCAACCGATTCGGCCCTGCTCCCTTGATCAAGCTCGGCAGCGACTTCAAGAAGGTTTCCAGCTTCCAGGCCCGCATTCCCTCCATTCCCAAGATCGTCGAGCTTGACCATCTGACCATCACCGGTCCCGTCAACCTTGGCCGTGGTGTCACCCTCAAGGGCACTGTCATCATTGTTGCGACCGAGGGCTCCACCATCGACATTCCCCCGGGTTCCATCCTCGAGAACGTCGTCGTCCAGGGTTCGCTCAGGCTGCTCGAGCACTAGAGTGGTTGTCGACATTTTCTTCACAGTTCTTATAGATTTTTTGAGGATACAGGTCTTCTTTAGCCACTGGTAACGAGGGATGACTGCATTGCAACGTACTTGAGCAAAAGACTCAGGCGGTAATGGGGCGTAATAGTCACGCATGTCCATGATTCACGTATCATCATAGACAAAATGCATCTTGAATACAATCCATAATGATCCATTTGTTGTTGCTCGAGTTCACCACACGCTGTGTTTGAAGCTAGTAAGATGTGGTTAGTAGTAAGCTAATCTCCAGTATGGAGAAGATCCATGTCAACCCAAAGAACTGACCCATCTGCAGCTTATTACTTCCAAGAAATGGTGCCTGATTGCGGCCTCACGCCATCTCAGCCTTGCGGCCCTACCGCGGTGATGTCAGAATGTCACCAGCCACGCAGCCAACCCAACCCGCGAACAACAACCCCCACCAATCTCCCGGTTCCTGCGCAGTGCAGAGGCGCAGTCGGCCAGTCACCTGTATCTTACATAGCGATGATGCCTGCTGATAGCGGCGAGCAGCACTTGATATAAGCAGCCGTGGCTTCCTGACGCCGTTTTGTCGCGTTCCACACGCCTGCATCCTCGCGTCGCACGCAGCGGGGTTGATCGCAACCTGACGAGCATCAGCTCCGAGCATCGAGCCGAAGATTTGCATGCCTGAGCCCATTAATAGCGATTGCTCCCACCTATCGACAGAATGTCACCCGAACCTATGCCACATAACGAGTTCCAGGACGAACGCGCCGCGAACCTAGCGCAAGCGGATGCGGCGCATCGCGAAGCATACGATTTCTGGGGTTACCTTTTCAAGGAAGATAAATGCGGGACCCCGTTGCTGGATCGCCTGTTGAAGGGCATCGCCTACGTCATTGTGAGTTGAGTGTAGCTTTCAGATGTTCACTTGGAGACCTCAAGCTAATGCGCCACGGTAGAGCCAGAAGTTCGGATCAAGCGACTCGCCTGATCTTACGCCGTCGCAAATCGCAGCCTGGTATCGCAGTGTTGGGGGCGACTACGACGTACTATTCACAGACACACCGCCTTCATCCGTCGCGTTCATATATCGGTCACTCGGCGCATTCCACAGCTTGCAACCAGCACCAGACGACGACGGCTACTCGAGTCCTACCATACCTGCGCTGAAGAAGGACGGCTTTGTGACATGGCAGACGATACAGTTGCTGCTAGGGCCAGAAGAGCATGTGCCTTTCCTACAGAAGGCGGTGGACCTGGATGACATACCCGATCTGGAAACCGGGGGCACATTCCCTAAAATCCTACCCAAGGAGTGCTTCCCAGAGAAACCCGATGATGCGATGGAGACGTGGTATCAGAGCGTTGCCGCCAGGCTTAAGAAGGAGGCGGAAGAGGAGCTAAATGGGGGCAGTGCAGCTGAAGAGCCAAAACCGCGCACTTCGACGGACAGCGAGGGAAATTCAGCAGATGACAAGTCCGGCGCGTACCGCTACTTTGAAGACCCGCTCTATCGGAATGGAAGACCTCGGCCGACCTTCATGCGCCATGTCTCGAAGCAATCTCCAAGGCCCGCAGAGGACCATGGAAGGCCGGGGGCTATTATCTCGAGGGTGAGACACATGCTGAATCCTCTGAGTACTAGAATCGCCGGAAAGAGGATTATCCCAGACCGCACCGGGTACGGAAGCGACGGGTACTCAGATGAAGATGCCACACCCATTGCACCTGTTCCTCAACCAGGTCCCCGATATTCCGCCCACAAGCGTCCACACCCACCGCGACGCGAATCCTCGTTATCAACAACAGACTCCGACTCAGATCCAGATCGCCCGTCTCCTCGGCGACAAAATCCTGTACTGCGTACCCATCGATCTCACGAGCCGCCCATATCGCAGCCGGGCTATTTTCCCGCCTACAATGAGGCGCGCCGTTACTCAAATCAACACGACCCAGTCCGAATGTACGAAGGAACTTCAACAGCAACATCCCCCCAACACGTATATGTACCAACTCAATCCCCACTCTTCGCGACCCAAGTCGCGCAAGCCCAGCGAGAAGCACAGAAACAGCAATACTACCTCTCACGACCCGTCATGCCGCCACGCACGAGTTATAGACCCGTCCCATCCAGCAGCGTGCGGTGGGGTCCCCAAACCGTACATCCTGTAAGTCCACCTCGAGACGCTGAACCACCCTACATTCGTGAGCGCGAACGAGAGCGCGATCGCGACAGAGAGAGACACCATCGCGACCGCGACCCATACGCAATGGGAAGCGGTAGTAGCCGCTCCCACCGCCGCCACTCGGAAGACGTTGAATACCCGCGCGAGCGTGCCCGCGATTCAGCCCGCACACGCAGTCACGATAGAGTCAAAGACGAATGGGACGATCGCCATGATCGAAGTCGAGATAGAGATCGAGACCGCGACCGAGACCGCGACAGGGACAGAGATAGAGACCGCGACAAGAGAAACTCCAGCTACGAGGACAGAGACAGAGACGACAGTCGCGAAAGAGATCGAGATCGAGATCGGGACAGAGACCGGGTGCGAGATCCCCGCGTGCATAGGTATGTGTCCGGGGTGCAGGACGGTGTGTCTGGCCGGAAATATCCTGTCGCTTAAGCTTTTTGTTGTGGGATTTCATTTACTAAGATCTTTTGTTGCAGCAGGAGTCAGAGTGTTAGGGGCCAATTCATGAGGCTGCTTAAAGAATTTTGAGCAGGAACAGTTTATCAAGTGGGATGGATTGGTGGGTTCTCGAAGGCTTTGTTCGACCCATCGGCTATGCCGTGTGGGTGTTGATGGTGGGGTCCATGGAGTTGGGTGGATTGGTCTGGATGATCTGTGGCGTAGTAGGCCGGGTATGTTCAGTTCAGCTCGCAAGGAGCTTGCACGACGCAACACTGCCCAGGTGATGATGCACGTGTGGTGACACCGGAACGCTAGTAATACATAGACTTGGCATCGAATTCAATACATTGTGTGACACACGGTTTAAGGACCCGTGGCTGCACCTGCATATGATCTGCAGACTGCACGATTATTTTTCTGTGCAGGTATCGCAGTAGTCTTTACTCTGACAAGTTGCGGTAAGAATAGAGACACCTGTTTAGTTCCTTCTTTGTGCAAGGTGGAAGGAAAGCGTTCGGAGATGATGTGGCGGTGTGACAGTTACTTGTGGTGCACGGCCCAGGTACGCGAGGAGACCTCGGGAGGTGGTGGAGGGCATTCACGTGCCAGATGTCCGAATTAGAAAACAACCTTGGACACTAGCGATCTGGCTATAATGTGTTATGGTAGGGATATTATATATATAAGTAGAAACCTGCAGTGACATCATAACCTTCAATTTGCATGTGTTGTCCTCGTGTAGCCTACAGAGACGTGCCGAGTTTCTTACTTGTATGGGGTGTAACGGTTGCGCAAGATAGTGCGGAGGTGTGCGTTTGGCACCAACTAGCTGTGCGGGATGGACCCTGAGCTACTGATTAGCCAAATCAATGGGAACGCCATGCGAGCCCTGCAGAAGGATAGTGTCACGATAGACGGGAGCGTAGACGGGGTTGCTGCAATCGACGCGTGAATGGCTGACGGCAGTAGATTAATGGGAAAACATCGGAATGGTTCGTGTCGCTGATTACGCGTGGATCGCTATGTCATAAGCGTGGCTGTGCAGGGGAGCTCGGGGATCGCCGTGAGGGATGCTAGTCATCATCGCTCGAGGGAGCTGCTAACCAACACCTCTCGCGAGCTCCTGATTGCGAGTAGGACCGCGTGCGATTCAATTCTTCATCAATTTCTCATGAACCTTGACCTATAGCCCTTCCTTCGGCCTTTCCTTTGTTTTTTTCTCCCGTTCTCACCGGGAACCAGGAATTACTTCGGCGAGTTAGTGCCAGCCATCCGCGTACAGCTGCAGTATCGCTAAAGCATAGCTGCCGCCGTCTACCAAGGAAAGCTAACCAGCCAAACAACAGGTTTCCAGAACCCCAACACCTCCCAGCCGCTCGCTCTATCTTCTACTACTCTCACCTTCCCGGGGTTCCTCACCCAAGTCACGCCCCTCCCTCGACCGCGAGCATTCAATTGCACGCCAGCCATCTTGCAACTGCAGCGCAACGTCAGCGGGTCGGACCTCCGCTCCACATCGCCGACATGGCTACCGCATCGCGCGAATCCGAGCTGAAGCAGCAAGGATTGCTCGACGCCGCCAAAGACCCCAATTCCTCCATCACGGCGAACCAGGCGGAGAAGTCCCTCGTCGATCAGGCGCAGGCGGGCGGCAGCGCTGCCTTCCAATTCGACCCCGATGCGAGTCCTGAGCAGAAGCGGGCACAGGCACGAGCGCGCGTCCCCGCAAACTTCCACCACGAGCGCAACAAGAACGCGACGGCCCTCGTATCCGATGCCGACGACAACGGCCCGGGCGAATACGACCTCCCCTCGCCCACCAAAGCGGGCGCCATAGAGACACCCGAGGAAGCCAAAGCCAATGGCCACGCGCCCGAGCAACTCGACGATGATGCGCGGTGGGATCGGGTCGGATGGGCGCCGCGATTCGGCATGCCCGGCTCCGAGAACAAGGAGGAGGAAGAAGCCTCCCTGGCCGACCACCAGACATGGCTGGAAGGCAGGATAGAGGACAAGTTCTTCGGCGACTGGTACCACAACACGGGCATCATCATATTTGCGTGCTTGAGCTCGTGGGTCGTCGGTATCCTCGGCGGTGGCCTGGGCTGGATCATGATCTTCATGGCCGTCTGCGGCACCTACTATCGCACCTCGATCCGTCGCGTGCGCCGCAATGCGCGCGACGACCTCAACCGCGAGATGGCCAAGAACAAGCTGGAGACGGATACGGAGAGCTTGGAGTGGATCAACAGCTTCCTCGTCAAGTTCTGGCCCATCTACGCGCCTGTTCTGTGTGACACCATTGTAGGCACCGTGGACCAGGTTCTCTCGACCTCGACCCCGGCGTTTTTGGACAGTCTGAAGATGAAGACCTTCGTTCTCGGAACGAAGCCCCCGCGACTGGAGCATGTGAAGACGTACCCAAAGACACAGGACGATATTGTTCTCATGGACTGGAAGTTTAGCTTCACGCCCAACGACGTAGCCGATCTTACCGCGAGGCAGATCAAGAACAAGATTAACCCAAAGATCGTCCTAGAGATCCGCATCGGAAAGGGCCTTGTCAGCAAGGGTCTGGATGTTATCGTAGAAGACATGGCCTTTTCCGGTCTGATGCGCCTGAAGTTCAAGCTACAGCTGCCGTTTCCTCATATCGAGAAGGTCGAGATGTCTTTCCTAGAGCGCCCGACCATCGACTACGTCTGCAAGCCCTTGGGTGGAGAGACCTTTGGTTTCGATATCAACTTCATCCCCGGACTGGAGACTTTCATCATGGAGCAGATCCATGCTAACCTGGGCCCGATGATGTACGACCCCAATGTGTTCCCCATCGAGATCGCCAAGATGCTTGCGGGCAACCCCGTCGACCAAGCTATCGGTGTTCTGCAAGTCCACTTCCACGGTGCTCAAGGCCTCAAGAACCCTGACAAATTTTCTGGTACTCCTGATCCCTATGCCACGGTCTCCATCAACAACCGCAACGTGCTTGCACGTACCAAGACGGTGCACGAGAGTGCCAATCCTCGCTGGAATGAGACTGTCAACATCATCGTAACTTCCCTGAAGGACTCGCTTACCATCAATCTCTTCGATTACAACGACATTCGCAAGGACAAGGAGCTCGGTACCGCTACCTTTGCGCTAGAACAGCTAGAGGAGGATCCTGACCACGAGAACATGCAACTAGAGGTCATGTCAGGAGGTCGCGCCCGTGGTCTCGTGACAGCGGATGTACGCTTCTTCCCTGTCCTTGAAGGCACTACGCTGGAAGACGGCACCAAGGAGCCTCCACCAGAGTCGCGCACGGGTATTTGCAAGTTCACTGTTGAACAGGCCAAGGATATGGATGGTAGCAAGAGCATGATCGGGCAGCTCAGCCCATACGCCGTCCTCCTCCTGAATGGCCATGAGATCCACAAGTCGCGAGTCATGAAGAGGACAAACCAACCTATCTGGCCAGACGCAACCAAGGAAATGCTCATCACCGACCGCAAGAAGGCTAAGCTGGGTCTAGTCATCAAGGACGACCGTGACCTCGCAGCTGACCCTATTCTTGGTACCTACCAAATCACGATGGACGACATGCTTGAGCTCATGGCCAAGGGTCATGAATGGTACAACCTCGCAGGTACATCGAGCGGCCGCGTGAAGATGAAGCTTGATTGGAAGCCCGTTGCTCTAAAGGGTGCTGTCTCTTCCAGTGGTTATCTTACTCCCATCGGTGTAATGCGACTGCATTTCCAGAGCGCGCGCGGACTTCGTAACCTCGAAGCCCTGGGCAAGTCGGATCCATACGTCCGTGTTCTACTCTCTGGTATTGAGAAGGGCCGAACCGTCGTTTTCAAGAACAACCTCGACCCTGACTGGGATGAGGTTGTCTATGTCCCTGTCCACACTGTCCGCGAGAAGCTTACACTGGAGGTCATGGACGAGGAGAATCTCGGCAAGGATCGTCCCCTGGGACATATCGAGCTTTCGGCTGGCGACTATATCCAACAAAACGAGAATGGCGAGTACCTCGAACATGAACAGAAGCAGCCTACCGCTGGAGCTCTCCGATTGGCTGGTTCCTCTCAGCCCAAGGGCACTCTCAACTACACCTGCTCCTTCTACCCTACATACCCCACGTGGGACCCCGAAGAGGACGAGGAAGAAGAGGAGGAGACTAAATCCAACGGCGCCGCCCGGCCTGTGTCCAACGGATCTAAGCTCAGCCACCAACGTGTCGTATCCAACGCTTCGACCATCGCCAGGTCGGAGACCGCAGGCACTATCTCATCACTCAAGTCGAACGAGAAGGACATGGCCAAGGAGCTTGAGAAGAACGAGCTCCAACAAGCAGAGTCGATTCCTGAGAAGCCGAAGATCGAGAAGCTGAAGCTTACTGCGGACGATCTGCAGCAGTATGGTAGGTCGCATGCCGACTATGAGGATACAGTGGAGTTTGGCTTGTTCAGTTGGTTCACCCTGACCTGCAACCTGACCCCGTATCCTTATATCATATTTACGAGTCTTGGCTAACGTGATGTAGAATCTGGTCTGCTTGTGTTCAAGCTCATTGAAGGTGAATTCGCAAGGACTGGTGGCCACGTCGATGTTATTATGGATGACATGGCGTATGCCAGCTATTCTAGCACGAAGATCCGCAGCAACAAGATGACTTTCAACGATGGTGGGTTGTGTGAAGTCCTTCACGATGTACCAAGCTAACGGTATGCAGTTGGCGACACGATGATCCGCGAGCTCGACTTTTCCAAGATCACCCTCCGAATTATCGAGCACATCGACAACGACGGTGACGATCATGGAGATCACGTCATTGCTAAGCTGACAGGAAACACGATTGATACGCTACGAAGGTCTCTGCACACGCCTACTCAGTTCACGCTCAAGGACAAGAACGGACGCGATAACAAGATCACGGTCATGCTTAAGTACATTCCCGTCAAGATGCGTCTCGATCCCAGCGAATCCTTCAACAACCAGGGTACGCTCCGAGTCGATGTGCTCGATGCGGCAGATCTTCCAGCTGCGGACCGCAACGGTTTCTCAGATCCTTACTGCAAGTTTATGCTCAACGACAAGGAGGTGTACAAGACCAAGACGCAGAAGAAGACGCTCCACCCAGCATGGAACGAGTACTTCGAAGTACCTGTACGAAGTCGAACAGCAGCTGACTTCGTCGTCAACGTTTACGACTGGGACTTCGGTGACAAGGCCGACTTCCTTGGCAAATCGTCTATCAACCTGGAAATCCTCGAGCCCTTCCAGCAACAAGAAGTTACGCTTGCCCTCGACGGCAAGTCAGGCGCCATCCGACTTAGAATGTTGTTCAAGCCAGACTATGTCGTTCGATCTCGTCAAGGCTCCAGTACATTCTCCGGCACCTTTGCTGTCCCCGGCAAAGTCATTGGCGCGCCCGTCAAGGGAGTTGGTAAAGGAGCGGCCTTTGTCGGTGGCAACGTAGTCCGTGCAGGTACCTTCCTGGGTCGCGGTTTCAAGCGTAGAAAGTCTCGCGGTGAAGCCCCCGACGAAGAAGATCTCGCCCGTCCCTCCACATCCGACCGTCCCTCCGCCGACACACCCATGATATCCATCGAAGGCGAGCCCAACACCCCAACAAAAGACTCCAACAACCACAACCGTCACCGCAGCTGGGGCGCACAAAGCTTCCACAGCCGCTTCGGCGACAACGCCGGCCCCGGCGGAGCCGAACAAGGCACCGCCAACATCACCGTCCTCTCCGCCGACGGCTTCCCTGCCGGCACCAACTTGCGCGTGCACATCTCGCTCGGCAAGAAGGAAATCCACAAGACCGACCACATCAAAGCGCCCCAAGGCTCCGTCCAATTCGACCCCTCAGAAGAGAGTTTCAAGACAAACTGCACGGCCGACGCCTTCTTCAAACTCGTCGTCAAAGACCACAGTAAATTCGGCAGAGACGAGGAGTTGGGTGAAACCCAATTCACCATCTCAGACCAGGGCAGCGGCGCAGAGCAAAACGTCGGTGTGGGTAAAGGCATGGTGTCGATACGCAGTAGCTTCACGCCTAGTGAGAGCGGAGGCAGTCCGTCTGGCAGCGTGAGTCCGCGACCCAAGACCGCGGAGCGCAGGGGACTACTCAGGAGAGATAGGAGTACCACGCCTAATCCTGGGGCTTAGAAAGCAAGTGTGCTGGGTAGGCTGGGCCAGTTGAAAGGGAATGGCTCGAGGGTTAGTTTTGCGAGGAGTGAGATGGTGAATAGTAGGGGGAGGCGCGGGGATACGGATGTTGATGGGGGGAGGGATGCCGAGGGCCTGGAGGAGGATAGGATGGGTGTGCTGAGGGAGTGGATTGAGGATGTGGAGAGGGGGAGACGGAGTTTTGCGCTTTGATGCAAGGTGTGGTAAAGGGTATGGCAGGGTGGGATGGGATAGATTTGGGGTCTGATGAAGGGCAAAAGGCCGCATCGGGCGGGTCAGGATTCTTTGCTTTCATTTTTTCTTCCCCTTCTCTCTCGACCTAGGTCCTCTTCTCCTAGTTTTCCTCCTAGAGTCGGTTTTCTCTTCTGAGTGTAATTTCGATACCAATGTTATTTCTTTGTTCTGAGATCCTTGGAGTGTGCATCTCTCTCTTTGATTTTTATGTATCCTGTCCGTGAACGATAATTCTCTCTAGCGTGAGATTCACAGTAACGCGTTCGATGGAGGCGAATGCATCTAATAACTATATCTATGTAAAGGTTCGCCTGATGACATTTTGTCTAACTGTTATGTTAAATGGGTACTGGAACTTGATTGAGCGATTGATGCAGATTTGGTGACATGTTTGTGAATGTGTGATGTGATGTGAAGATGTATTACGTGTATAGATAGTATGCTATACAGATGCAGCGAGCAAGCGAGTCTTTGACTTGTTGTCTCGCGCCTACGCTCCCGCTTTCCCCAAACGCAAAAGGAAACTGACCGAAAGAATACCAGCAGCGAATTCCGATGCCTAATGAACAAACCCAAACCTATCCAGGTATATAGCCAAAAATGCAGAACAAGTCGTGACGTCGTAAAAGAAAGAAAGAGGAAAGGGGGATATGCAATATATATATGTGCTAGGGCCAAAAGAACAATGGGGAATCCAACTACTCGCAGAAAACAAAACGGCTGAGACAGACACGCCGTGTCTCTCTCTCCTCTCAAATCAAAAAAATGTCGAAAAGAGAGATATCACACCGACCCCGTACCAACAGGATCAACATAATACCTACTCCCAATACTCCTGCGAATCTTCTCGCGCCTCTTCTCCGTCCGTCGCTCCCTCAATTTCTCTTTAACACCGGAGATACCAATGTATTGGACGTGGTATTTCTTTAAGCCGGGCAGGCTCTTGCCCTGGCGCCAGGACCCCCTACCACGCCGACTCTGTTCGTACTCGATGGACACGGTTGAGACGTTGTCAGGCAGGGAATTCGTGCGACGAAGATCGTGGCTTGAGCGCCGTTTGGAGATGCCGCCGCTGCGGTGGCGCCCGAGAGGTGCGGTGGGGGCTTGGATTATGACTTTGTCGGGGGAGGCGAGATGGCGCGCTGTACGGGGGGTGCGGAAGTGAGGAGGCAGGGTGATGTGGTGGCGGCGTTTGTTCGTGCCAGCACGTTCGAGACCCATGGAGTTGCCGATTAGGAAGCCGCCGCTGCCGCGGAAACCGCCTTTGAGCTTGTTGCTGATGGTGCTTGCGCGGCGGGGGCGCGAGGGTAAGGGGTCTGGCTCTGGGTCCTCGATGTCGCTTGTGTCGCCGCCGGAAGGGAGGCCGCTGTCTTCGTCCGAGTCGTCTTCTGAGTCGCCGTCTTCGAATCCGTCCCAGAAGCCGCGGGGGCGCCAGAAGGGGTGGAGGGTGCCGTCTTCTTCATTGACGCTGGGGACGGAGGGGTTGCGGTGGATGTGCTGCTTGAATGGGTCGCTGGTGTACCGTGTTCGGTTGTTGGAGGCGCGACCGAAGAGTGGTGTGATAAGGTTGTCGGAGTAGCGCCGCGCTCGCTGGAGGACAGACAGTCGGCGCTGGGGGTGCGAATCAGAGCGTTCCGGTGGTCCTGGTGGCGGGGGTACCAGTTGGTTCTCGAGTTCTTCCATGGGCGTGGGAGGGATGAACTTGATGATGGGTGGCTCCGGTGGGTCTCGGGGGTTCTTGAGAGGCGATTCTACACCATCAGGCTGAGGTAGGTCGAACTGTGTTGGGGGTGTCGAGGGCTCGAAAGTCAGAGTGGGCTGTGGGTAGGGCTCGTCAACCTCCTCGCGAGCTTGTTGAGGTGCCTCAGGTGCCTCTACGAATGGCGGACTGGGTGTACTTCGCACCTCACGGTCGTCCTGCGGTGTGAGATAGGTGTTGCCAGTTATTTGACGCTGCTCTGGCAACAGTGAATTACCGCGTGACTGCTGTACAACGAGCAGCGAGTGGTTGTTGTGGGGGTAGATGCTCACAGCAGTCGCCTCGGTGACTTCTACCGTATCGGAAAACTGTGAGAACGGCGTCGATTGAGAGTACAGGTGCCGAGCATTGGCGTGCTCCTCAGTCCGCGAAGCAGACCGAGAAGCGGATTGGTCGAAACTGACGCGACCATGGTCTCCAGAATCAGGGCGCGATGCGTTGCTGCGGCGTTTCACCTCGTCCGTCGATGTGCGATCCTTCAAGATGGGACGCACTGCCATCTCGGGAGAGAGAGATGCTCGCTTTGCCCATGAGACTGGCCTTGCGCCCTGACGCAGATGAGGTGAAGTGTCTTTTAGCGGTGAAAACTTCTCCAGGTTCTCAGATGTAGCAGGATTCTGCTTAGAGTCAACAAGAGTAGCTGACTCTGCAGTCTCACGAGCCGCAAGTAGTAGACGGACTCTATCCGTCAGCGCAGACGGCACACGAGTCTCTTCAACAGGATGGCTCGCACCCATGAAGACATCGCGTTCGGCTGGCCCATCTACACCCTGATCGGGAAGATTGGGCAGTGTGTTCTCGAGATTCGCCGGCAGCTTCACATCGGTAATCACTTGTGACTGTCTTCTGTTTTTGCGCGATGTGGGTGACGTCCGACGTGGCTTTGGCGATAGGGTCGGTGACGGCGCTCGTACAGGAGGCGATGGAGCTCGCATAGGAGGTGATGGTGCTCGTACAGACATCCGTTTGACGGGATCCTCCATCGGTGCAGGACTTTCAGAGGGCCGCAGCTCTGTAAAGTTCCTTGGCTTCGAAGACAACGTTCGCCTGGTAGCTTCGGGCGCAGAGTTGACTCGCTTGTGGTAGCTACCGCCTGATCGCGCGACTGTGCTGTGCCGACTGACTATGTCTGCTGCTGGCTGAAGTACATTCCGTATCGATTCTTGATGGGCTAGTGTATGCGCCGAGCTATCGATAGTCCTCTGTCGCAACGACAGCGACGGGGACATGATGCGCGATGAACCGACGTCCGAGTTGGTGCTGAACCTCGCACTCCTGTCGGCGATGTTCGTCCTCTTGTGCACCAGGCGATGGGGCGGCATGTCGTCGTACTGCGAGATCATTGAATTGCGATTCGAGTGGGTCTCAGAGCCGAGATTCGCAGGTGAACTGTAGTCTCTCCTGTATGCCATGTTCCGCCCAGAGTGTCGCAATGTTGGGTTTCGTCGCGGTGGAGTGATATTAACGTACGCCGACACGACCGTCGAGGCCACTGATGCTGTGGAGAGTCGCTTGTTGGTGTTGTCGCGCTGCCTCTCGCCCGTCATGCCTCTACCCTCCGAGGGCCAGCCAATTGAGTGAGCAAAGTTCTCGATGGAGGGCGTGACGGGACTGTTGTGGCTGGCTTCGACGCGTTCGCGCAGACTGGAAGCGCGTCGGGCGCGGGTGCTTGGGGTCGGCGAGGCGGCTTCGACGATGGTGACGGCGGGCGCGGGTTCTTCGACGTCCTTTGCGACGGGTGACGGGATACGCGCTGGAGCGGATGACTTGCGAGGCGTGCTGGAGGGCGTTCTGCGTTTTCTGCGAACCGTTACGTTCCGCATGAGGTCTGTGTTCCACTCCCGATCTGGGATATCCTCGACCACCTGGGATCCCTTGTCCTCTTCAGCACCGACCGTTGAGTCCACCGGTTCAGTAGTGGGGAAGTACGGGCCTTGCTTGTTCGTGGGCGTGACATCATGCTGGTCGTGCTCGAACGCCAGGCCCAGTCCGCGGTCTTCCTCGACAGTGCTCAGCCTGTCGTTGGCAGGTGTTGCGGCTCTGCTGTCTTCGCGGTCCGAGGAGAAAGGGTCCTCTCTGGCAGTCTGGAAGGAGTCCGCGCGCGAAGAGGGATATGTGTATATCGGTGGCCGTTCGAGCGTCGCAGTCGTGCCATTGGTGCCGTTGGAGGCGTTGGTTCGCGGAGGACTGGGATCGGGCGTGGGAGGACTGCGCGCATTGACCGGCGTGCTGAGAGACGATTTCTGCGATATAATCGAGTTCCTGACGCTGTCGGCATGTAGCGGTTGCTCGGGCATCTGTGCAGTTCTCCCGTCCTGGGAAGCTGTGGGCGGAGTAGGCGGTAGGCCGCTGTCAGCTCCCGGCAATGCGCCTGGAGACTGGAGCGGTGTATTGTGCTCGCTGTCGGCTATCGAATCCGTGTCGTCGGTCGCCTGTGTGGTATAGGAATAGTCGCGCTTAAGGGGCGCTGCTGCCCTCGAGTAGGTGCGGTAGTCGTCGCTACGGCGCGGCAGCTGTTTCGGCTGGCGGAGGTTCGGCGAGGCCTTGAAGGATGATTCGAGCATGGCATAGACGTCGGACTGAGGTTGTGACATGGTGGCCAGGCGCCTCGCAGTGAAGGCGCACTCGAAACTCTATCCCCGTCTGCCGTCCCTATCGCTGCTGGCCCGTGTACCGGTGCAAGGTGGCTCTTCCTGCGGTTAAGAAGAAGCCATGACCCGCGAGCGCAAGACGGCAGTGTTCTTCTACATGCGACGCTGATGTCGCTTTCCACCAGTCGCAGCGCTCAAGAGGTATGCAGGCTGCCGTGGGCGCAGGGCGGTGGGTGGTGACGCAGGTAGCCTCGGGATTGCAGTGCCAAGAGAACCGTTCACGATGCGATTAAGCGGGCGCACGATGGAGACTCGACTGTCACGATATTTTAGGGCGGCCTCGGGTCCAGCGAACAAGATACGGCGGTGCGATAGGGCGAGGGCAGCGAATTTGGAGACGGGAGGGTGGTGTGCGGAAGGAGCAGGTCACTGCGCAATAATCGATGCGCGCCGAATTGGTGGCTTTCCAAGCTTCGGGCGACGGCGAGGTAGCGGCTTGGGGTCCAAACGGTCTAAAGAATCTCTCACCTGGAGCGGTCCTTGGAAAAACGGAAAGATGGCGTAGTGGCGACTATCTATCGAGAAATGCAACAATTATCACTACGGGTATTACTATGGGAAGGCGCTGTGGTTGGAGACGGCAGTAACAGCTAATGCTTCACCATGAGCTCATTCGCTCCATCGCAGGGTTAAGTCTTCGATCCCACCAGTCATCCCCACGGAACACAACGCTTTTCTGCACTACACCTCCTCTCGTCCCAGCCTGCGTCTACGGCAGGCAACCCCTCTTTCCGTGCACCACGTATGTGACGGTACTCCCCGGCCTGCATCAACTCGCGATCATGTGCCAAAGTACCTTTGTACCTTTTACTAGAGCGTGGCTAGCCTGCATTACAGTCCAGGCGCCTACTTGAGGGATCTAGACAGCCTCAACTATTTGGCTACTTATTCCAATTGCACAGGTTTCAGATGCCTCAGCCACAGCACAAGTCTCGGTCACAGCCGTTGGACTATCTCCCGAGATCGGGTCCTCCCAACGCACAGATTCTTCCTAGACACCACAGTACATCTGCAGTGCCACGACACGTCAAGTGCACATCGCAACTAATACATCGTCTTATGGAGTCGGGAATAACTCGGCCAAAGCTGACAATGAGACATCAGACATCTTCACATCGCAGTAGAAGCATATGCGTGACGTCATCAACCTCTGATGGCATCTTTACGTGCGATGCTCCAAACAGTGGAGTCTAGAGCAACCGCAAGATAAAAGACGAACGTAACCAGAACCATGCATTCTCACTGTAACACAGAACTTCCGACGAAATATAGCAGGTAACGACATCTGACGACAAAATGCACGCCATCGCAGTCACTGAATATGGACCCATCACAAACCTGCAATCCATTTCCGTCCCTAAACCCCCCTCTCCCCAAGGCCACGACATCCTCGTCCGCCTAAAAGCCTGCTCCGTTAATCCTGTCGACACAAAAGTCCGCGCCGGCACCTACGACGACTACCCAGACTACTTTTCACGCACGCCTGCACTCCCGCAAATCCTCGGTTTCGACGGCGCCGGCACGATCGAAAGCGTCGGATCTTCCGTCCAGAATTTCAAACCCGGCGACGAAGTCTACTACGCCGGTTCCCCAATCCGTCAAGGTAGCAATGCAGAGTACCAACTAGTCGATTCGCGAGCCGTGGCGCTCAAGCCAAAGAGTTTGGATTGGGGAGAAGCTGCTGCTATGCCGTTGACGTGGATAACGGCTTACGAGGCACTAGTCGAGCGGATGGAGATACGAAAGGGTGAAAAGGCTGGTATCTTGATCATTAACGGCGCGGGAGGTGTGGGCAGTGTGGCGAGTCAGATTGCACGGAGGGTACTCGACTTACCCGTTGTAGTCACCACGGCGTCTAGAGAAGAGACAGTCGCTTTCTCAAAAGATGTAGGAGGGGCTACGCATACGATTAACCACCACAACGACCTCGCGGAAGAAGTTGAGAAGTTGAAGCTGGATGTACCCATCAAATACATCTTTATCACCCATACACCTACATCCGGCTATCTCGCCCCCGCCGCCAAAATATGCGCTCCTTTCGGAAAAGTCTGCTCTATTGTTCAAGACAAAGAGATGCCCATGTACGGCACGGAGTTCATGGCAAAGAGTCTGACATTTGTGTGGGCGTTGCTGGGGACGAAACCGTACTATGGTGTTGATGTGGAGAGTCATGGGAAGATTTTGAAGGATTTGGCGGGGTTGCTGGATCAGGGCGTTGTGAGGTGTCATTGTAAGCAGAGGTTGAGGATGGATGAGGAAGGGATAAGAGATGCGCATGGGATTATTGAGGGGGGGAAAGCTGTGGGAAAGGTTGTACTTGAGTTTGAGTAGGGAGGGGTATGATATCTACGGGTGTTATCATAGGTTCACTAGGAGATGATCCTATGTTTGACCTAGGTATCGTTGGAATTGTAGACATCTCGGCTCGCTGCGGGTGATGAGGGAGCTGGAAAGGAGTATGTTGTAATTCTGAGTGATAGTTGGAGATACAGAAAAGAAAATCTGGAGAGTGCGAGCAGGCAAGTTATACTATGTTTCGCGTGCTACAAGGTGTTCTGGTCTCACGTAGACCAGTGGCTTCGTGGTTCTCGTGGTGCAGGCGCCTCGTAGTATGAGGCGAGCTACTCAGAATCTGCGAACTTGTGAGGCGTGATAGTACTAGGAAGTTCCTGGTAGCTAGAGTTGAGGACCGGGCTCACGGAGAACGTTGAACGATGCGCAGGCGCGGTCGGCCATGGGTACGCCCGCCTTGAAAGACGTCATGTAGATCGGATGCGTCGTGGCTATTGATACCGGAGCGGCGAGACGGTGTGGTCACGTATTTGTCAGGCACAGGCAAGATGGTCTGTAGATGGATTAGTCCAGGCCAATGTATGTCATAATTATCGTCCACTTACAGTGATCAAGTCAAAGCCCGACCTACCCCACACAGAGGTAAGCCGGGGAGCTAGTATTGCGAGACAGCTCTGAATGGCGAGCGCAGCAGATGCTGAGCTTCTTGAACCATACCCTTCTGTTCTCTCCTGGTACTTATGGGAGCATCTTTAACCAACCAAGCGGCGTGACTGCCACTTCCGCCTAAGAATTACTCGTCGTCCATATCGTCTCCGTCGCGTCCAGGACTCCTGCTCCTGGCTCTTCCGGCCCCGCGTCCGCTTTGGCGCCTGTCGTGGTCGCGCGCCCGTCCTTTGCTGGCTGGCGGTGGTCGTACAAAGGCGAAGTCGACGGTAACCTTCTGCTCGAGGAATTCTTCGCCGTTGGCGCCCTTGACAGCGGCGTTCGCTTCTTCCAAAGTAGCATACTCAATGAGCACGTAGCCCTGTGTGATGTCAGTCCCCCATCGCTCTTTCCCTCCCCATCGTAACCACCAATCTCAGGCGCGTACCTTGACGTAACCCGTCCTCCTGTCCAAGTTCATGTGCAGATTCTTGATGGTACCAAACTCGCCGAACATGTCCTGAAGATCCTCCTCGGTACATTCCTCGTGCACATTGGTGACAATGATGATCCAGCCCTCGATGGAGCGCACAGCTGTCGCGCCTGCCTGGGTGCGCGCGTCGTTGCTGTCGGTGGTCGGCTTGGCGTCAGTCGCGACGTCGGGCTGGTCAATGTCCATGGTTTCTGTGGTGTCGGCCATGGCTGCGAGATGTAATTGGTCGGTGGGTGGTGTGGAGTGGATATCGTGGTGAGGGCGTTGTTGAGCTCTCGGCGTCGCCAAATGTTTCCGTAGTCGAAGCGGTTCGCGCTAGTGGAAGAGCGGCTCCATCCCAACCTACGCGACCAAAGTTCAACGCTCTCTCAACGCGCCTGCCCTGTGTCTGGCCCCAAGTCCGACGCTTACATGCAGTGCCTGTTTCCTGCATACATCATGGCTGACGACCCCACCCCTCACGGCACAGTCGGAAAGAAGCAGATAAAAGGGCCACCGTCCAGCCATTCTTTAGCAGTGAGCTAGGTCCAGCTACACCCCCGCCGACGTCACTCAATTGTTATATGACACGCCCTTGACCCGCGCCTTTCATCATGCTCCAGTTTCTCGACAATCTCGTACACTACGCCGATCCGACACTCCCGTCCTTCTCCTCCCTCACATACCTGTACATTGTTATCCTAGGCTGCTCGCTTTTGATATCTTTCCGTTCGCGACACGAAGAGGAGAACCTCAACTAACATCATGTCCAAGTTCACAAATGTATGTCCAGTTCTTCATGTAATTCCTAACAAAACTGATCATGTTAGATCGCCATGATCGGATGCGGAAGCATGGGCGGTGGAATGGCCCTGCTTTTCGCCGAGGACGGTGTCCATGTTTCGCTTTCAGACCCTTCGGAGCAGGCAATGGATGCAGTCATTGAGAAGGCTGAGAAGCAAGGCTACAACGGAAAAGTTCAGAAATTCAATGGTAGGCGGAACCCTTGAACGCTGATGCATTCCAAGACTAATGCAGTAACAGACTACGATTCCCTCTGCAAATCACTCTCCACACCACGCTTACTCGTCTTCTCTCTTCCACATGGCGGCGTCGGCGACAAGGTCCTGGAGGGTCTGGAACCACATCTTTCCCGCGACGACATCATCCTAGACTGCGGAAACGAACACTTCCAGAACACCGAGCGGCGACAGGAGAAATGCAAGGGCACTGGAATCCGTTACATTGGCTGCGGTGTCAGTGGCGGATACCAGGCAGCGAGAGCCGGACCTTCCATGTGTCCTGGTGGTGACATCTCTGCGCTCAAAGAAGTCCTTCCGTTGCTGGAGAAGGTCGCAGCCAAAGACAAGGACGAGAAACCTTGCGTGGGTGTCATCGGCAAAGGTGGAGCAGGACATTACGTGAAAATGATGCACAACGGTATCGAGCATGGCATGATGAGCGCTATCTGTGAGGCCTGGGGCATCATGCGAAAGATGGGTATGGGGTACGAGGAGATTGGCGATGTACTCTC